AAGTAAAATGAGAGACAAGATTCTTTTTTTACCTTGTGAGGGTGCAGCAAGAAGGTGACTATGATATGCAAACCAAGAAAGATATCCAATTTGCTGTCATCTTCATCTTGGACTTTTGGTCTCCAGATCTGTGAGAAATAAAATGTTGGTGGCTAATATCACCTAGTGAATGGTATTTTGTTATAGAAGCTCAGACTGGTTTATTTAGAAATAACACATATTTTTGTACTAGTATCTTGGGGTATTAAAATTATCTTGATTTTGGTTTGAGAGATAATATAGGGCTTAAAGTGCTTTCCTTTGAATAGGAAGACCTTGGTTCTAATCTCCAGCACTGCATATTATCACTTGAGTGCCACCAGAGGTCACTCCTGAGCCCAGAACCAGGATCATCTCCACACCTTCCAACCCCTCTGGCTGTGATCTCCAAGTTCCCCTACATTAAAAATAAGTTAATAAATGAAGTAATCTTGGCTCATAACAGATGAAACTGAACCGCTGATTTAGCCCCTGAATGTGGCTACAAGCACTTATATGTCTCCATGGAAGATAGACCACAATATATTTGAAAATACAACACTTGTAAAATAATATTTAGAACTTTTTGACTTATAAAAATATGGTCTGACCTTAGAAAATCAGCCATATCCACAAGTTAACAACACAATCTCCTTTATAACCCTGTAGCTCTCTTATCAGTAAGGGTCATAATAATAAGAAATATTCTGAATTTCCTCTGAAGGAATACATTTCTAAATTATAAATGTATATACATTAATAGAAAAAGGCTGTTAAATGTGTAAATAGTTTTTGAAACTGGATGTCTTTTATCTATTTCCCTCATCTATACTTTCTTTTTTTTCTCACCTACTATTACTATCTCTGGACTACTGCTGGGTGAAATTCTATTTGATCTTCCAATATCTCCATTTTTTTTAATCTACTGTTTGGGCATAACTTTTAGGTGCTATTCATTCTATTCATTTTCATTTTTCCCACTCCACAAATTTACTACCAGATTTTTGTTCTATTCTACTGCATGAGTTCAATTACTATACATGAGCCAAAACTCTGTTATTCAATATTTGGTGTCTCTGTGTCTAAGATTGAACCCAGAGTCTCATACATGCGAGTCATATACTTTATCCCTCAGCTATATTCCCTGTACCAGGAAGTTATATCATTCAAGATGCCACGCTTTTAGTGGTGTGTGTTGATCAGACTCAACCAGGCATAAAAGATAAAAACAGTAAGGGAATGACACAGGGAAAGCACATGGGCCACTGGGTAACTGCTCAGCCATTTGGGGAGGGTCATCAGTCACTTTTGGAGCATGACTTCGATGCTTTTATTCAGTACAACACCCAGGTGCAGTCTATGCTAAGCAGATTGGTCAAAATGCCTGCTGACTCTTAGGTTTGAAACACAGGCAATCTGCGCTTTCTCCAACATGCACGGAAATGTTTTCAAAATAAGTAACATAAAAGAAATGGAGCTAAGATCCTGCCTTCTAAAGGACTTTAACAGAACTAGCAGATATCTCATGTGAAACTCAGATGAGCTAATAGATGGGATAATATATTAAATATACTATGGCAGCACAGTCTATGGCAGCACTGTCCTCCCATTGTTCATCGATTTACTCGAGCTTGGCCCAGTAACGTCTCCATTTTGAGACTTGTTGTTACTGTGTTTGGCATATCGAATACATCACAGGGAGCTTGCCAGGCTTTGCCGTGCGGGCGAGATACTCTCGGTAGCTTGCCTGGCTCTCTGAGAGGGGCGGAGGAATTGAACCCGGCTCAGCCGGGCTGGCTGCGTGCAAGGCAAACGCCCTACTGCTGTGCTAGGACTCATAGAATATACTATAAAATTTCAATTTATTGAATAATTTTCAATTATGTTGTTAATTATGGTTGGTGAGGAGAAGTAAATTGAATATAAGTGTGATCCTGGACTCCACATGCCACCACTAAAAAGCTACACTGTCATCCTTTACCTGAAGCATTTTATTCTTTTCCTTTTTGTTCAGAGCTGATGGAGAATATTTTTATAGTTAAAGGGCAGTAGAAAAAATGGAAAACCAGCCTTCCTCATAGGTCTCCTGTTTAATCCATGTCGGACATATTACTATGCCACTTATGCTTTTGACACTCGTTTCCCTGTCTCTCACATGCCATTTATCTACCTTTTAGGAAGTGGATATAAAAAGGGGTCTGATCAGCATCTTTGTAATAATGTAGAATAATAAAATGTGAGACTGGGGGTTTTCTAGTCTACCAGTGGGATTGAAATTTTTTATCTTTCATATAGATAATCTCCCAGTTTGGTTTTCTCCCTCAGTGGAGAAATATTTAGATCATTTGGATTCAGTCATCCCTCTAGAGAAATGACCAGATGCAAATGCAGACACTGAAATGGAGACACAGCACAGAGTTGTGACATGCCAAAAACATTCAAAGGGAAGCAAGCCAGAAGGAAAGGAAGAGGGTATGAAGTAACCAGTAAGTCAAGGCAGACACCTGAAATTACCATAAATATTGTTTTAATAGAGAAATTCCTACCATGATTTGCTGCCAAGTTCAGCTGAAGTGCTTTTTATTCACATCTACATTTAGTGGGTACCTCAAGGGCAAACTTAACTGTGAACTATAAGAATTTTAATGCTCATGAGGTTATAAGTTTTGGTCTTGTATGTAATAATTCTTCAGTTTCACAAATCTGAAGTGGGAAATTTGGCAAATGATAGTTGTTGGGGAAGAACAAAGGAGTGTGTTAATTATGAAAGGGAACTGTTCTAATTTGGCTTAATTTTTTTTTGTGTGGTATAAAAAGACCTCAGGGGTATTTCAGGTGGTAACTGAGTTTTATATAAATTGAAATCTAGATTGAAAAACATTTAAAGGTTTGAAAATTGGAAGTTTCTTACACAAACAAAAACATTGTCTTTTTATCCTCCCTGCCTCCCCATAGGTAATTTCTTAATTGTTATTTTCTTTAAAAAAATTAAAAATATTTCTTGCTTTCCCTGTCCCTGTTGATGCCATTTATTGATGACTGGGGAGGGGGTGTGTGGGGAGTTCCACAAATACTTGGTTGAGGTTCTTGCTGGGAGAGGCATATCAGGAACAGTGTCACACACTCAGACCTAGTGCTTACCACAGATTGTGGTGCTTGCAAGTGTGTTGGGGAAGGGAGTGACACTCTAGGAATGCTCACATACATACTGGTTGTAATGTTGATCAAGCTTGCTGTAGTCTGTCCCTGATGTTTGCCCAGGAGTTGCACCCCTGGCCATAATGCTTGTACATAAATGGAGTTGCAATGTTTGCTGGGGTCTCACCTTTTCTTTGTGGTGCTCACACAACTGGCTACAGTGTAGTCAGAAGTCGCTTGCCGTGCCAGGGTTCACTGGCAGCAGAGCTGAGCAAATATCAGAGCTTCCAGGCATAAACACCAGCGCTGCCAGGATCTTGCTGGGCACATACAGTGCATTGGCTATTAAATTAACAGCCTGGTGCTTGCAAAGAGGTATTTTAGTCACTGAGCCATCTCCTGGTCCCTCAGCCCCCTTGAATATTCTTTTTCTCCTCAAACTGAATTTTGTATTGCGAATCCTATCATCACTGCTTTACTGGCTTCCAGTGCTTTTGATTTCAGTGATAATCTGAGTCTGTTTTTCTGTAAACACACCTGAGAAACACATTCAGGGCAAGTAATTCCATATAATAAACTAAAATAGAAACTATATTATTTTCAAAATGCATATTAGTTTTCTCTGTAGGGTCCTCAATAAGAATAAAGGGAAACGTGAAAACGTATCTTTAAGTGAGTTATTAATTGGAATCTAGAGCAGTCGGTTTAAGGGTTGCCTGTGGCGGAGATCAGTTTCCTTGTTCAGGCCGAAGATAACTGTCAGGTAGGTATACGAGCTTTTCCCCTTCTAGGACTAAAGATCCTCCTATTAGTGTACAGAAAGTCCCAGCCCCCTGCTGCTTGATTTGACTCCATTTAACTGTTCCAACACCACGAAGAGAAAGATTCAAGTGAGGAAGTCCAGTTGCACAGAAGAGACTGTCTCAGAATTTAAGAAACTTGCTAAATTTCTGAGGCACAAATGGAAATCAAATCTGCCTACGTTCCTGTCGGAGTGCTGCAAAGCAGACGTTTTGGGTTGGTCTGATGTGCCTTTTCCAGTCAACTAGAATAATAAGTCAGTTGTCAAATTCCCTCTAAGCTCATGAAGCAAGACGTGGCATTACCTTTAGAAGACCGAGGACTTGGAGTTTTGGGTTTGAGTTCCTAGCCAGGTCCTGGGTTGGCATCCTGCCGCTGTCCCGTGCAGGTGGTGCTAGATTCCGCAGCGTCTCTGTAGGAGCCGGGAGTCCCCGGTCACTGAAGCGGGGGTGGGGATGGGGATACGTTCTGGTGTGTGTGTGTGTTGGGGCGGGGGGGGGCTGTCCCCAGCAGCAGAGGCAAACAAACCCAAATCCAGGAGAGCAGACCCGCCACTCTGCAGGTGGGCCTCCAGGGGCCTGGGGAGACAAGGATCGCGGCAGTGAGACCCTCGGGAGCGCCCTCTGGCGAGGACGGAGCGCGCGAGTCCCCGGCCCGGCCCCCCTCCCGCCCCCCGGCGCAGCTGCGGCGCCCCCGCCCGACTCTCGGGGTTCATTCTCCGTCTCTCACTCCGTGAGCCACAGACGGCGCTTTCCCAGGGAGCCCGGCCCCGGGGGAGGCGACGCCGGCACGGCCGCTGCCGCTCGCGGGCGCAGTCGGGACCCCGACCCCGCCCGCGCGGCGAGTCTTCGGACTCGAACGGACGGGGCAGCGCGGCACCCTCACGCGACACCCCTCTCCCGGGCGGCCACTTGGCGGGCCGGGCGAAGACTTGGGGACGCGGCTCGGGAAGCAGCCGGGAGGAGGCGGCGTCCGGCTGTGGGTGCGCGCCCGGGGTCTGGAGCGGAGCGAGGGGCCGGCAGGGCGGCGGCGGCTGCCTGCGGCCGTCACCACCGCGGGGACCTTCCCGCCTCGCCGCCGCCTCCCCGCGCCGCGGCCGGCCGGGTGTTCTGCGTGTTCCCGGGCCCGGTGCGGGCGCAGCATGCGCGGGGCTGCGTTCTGATCGCCGCCGCCTCAAGCCGCGATGATCCCGCCCGAGCCCCCTCAGCAGCAGCAGCTGCAGCCGCAGCAGCATCAGCAGCAGCAGCAGCAGCATCAGCAGCACCAGCAGCAACAGCAGCAGCAGCAGCTGCAGCCGCCACCGCCGGCCCCGCCGAACCATGTGGTGACCACCATCGAGAACCTGCCGGCCGAGGGCAGCGGCGGCGGCAGCCTGTCCGCGTCCTCCCGGGCCGGCGTGCGCCAGCGGATCCGCAAAGTGCTGAACAGGTGAGCGGCGGCTGCGGGGTCCCCCTCAGGACGGGGTCGTGGCCGGCTCCTCACGGGGCGGGGGGACGGCGCCACGACGCGCCCCGCGCTCGCCGAGAGGCCGCGGCAGCTTTGTCCCGGAGCCCGGCGTTTCGGGGGGCGTTGTGCGTCTGTGTGTGTGTGTGTGTGTGTGTGTGTGTGTGTGTGTGTGTGTATGGTGGTGGAGGGGATGCCCGGCTGGTCCTAGGCGGGAGTTCGGGGAGAGGCGGGATTCTGCCTGCCTGGGTGCCAGGTTCCGCACTCACACCCTGGCCCACGCGTGTCGCCCCACTCCCCCTTTTCTGCTCTCGCATCCCAGCTTTGCGCGCCGGGGGTGGGTGGGTGGGTTGGAGAGCCACGGCGGAGGGGACCCCGGGGATGGCCGACGCGGGAGCGGGGATGGCGTGCAAGTGGCCGGCCTCTCGCTGTCGCCCGCCCCGCCCCGAAGTCTCCGACCTCGGGGTTCAGGCTGACGACCCGGCGGGACGGGAGACCCACTTTTTTTTTCTTTCTTTCTTGCCTGCCCCTCCTGCTTGCGGGTCCCACTCTTTCAGGTTGGGTGGGGGTGGTGGGGCTCGGAGGGAAGGCAGGCAAGCGGAGGCTAGAGGCCTGGACCAGACCCCGGCAAAGTGCAGAAAAAGATTGTACGAAGGGAAGAAGCGCCGGGTTGGTCCTGAGCGGCTTCAAGCCCGAGCCGGCCACCGCGCATCACCGGCGCCTCCTCTGCTGGAATCTGCGCAGTTGAGGCAGCGAGGACGCGGCGTTTTAGGATCAGAATCCCCGGTGCACAAGCAGAGGGATCCCCGAGTCTCACTAGAATGTCTCAGGGACCGGTTCTACTTCAGAAACTTGAAATGGTGGAAGAGCTGACCCCCAACCCCCCTGGAGAATGGGTTTCGTGGACCGTGATTTTGCGGTGCTTGTGTGCTTCCCGGTGCATCAGTAGGGGGAACTCGCACGGCACCGCTGTGCACACAGGTTTCTGTGCGGCGCTGTTTGGGGGAGCTGAGATTCCCCGGGGAATTCACATGGAGCACTCTGGGGTGTGTAACTCTTGTGGGGACTAAAATGTGAACAGAAATAGAATCTTGGGCGGGGGACTTGGGGGACGGACTCATTTTAGGAGTAAGGTTTTGTTTATAGTTATATAGGGGCCCAAATCATTGAAGAGTCCTTTGTGAAGACTTGTGTATTTCAGCTTACTTGTGGGACCTTCTGTACGTTCCCATTTAATATTAAACACAAAGAAATTCATTCTGAAGTGAGACTACTTGGTAATTGAAAGTCTGACTTTTACTTTCCCTTGGTTTGTAGTTTAGAATAATATCTTCCAAAGCAATGTATTTAAAAGATCTTGAGTGGATGAACCAAGAAGGTGCTGGCACTGTATATCTTACCTAGGTTTCCAGTTCTTTTTGAATATCTGTGGAATTTAAAATTTTAAACACCAGAGTATTGATATACAAACAGAATATGCATTTAAAAATTTTGATGCATTTGGGCCATACCAACCAAGGGCTACTACCTGCCTATGTGTTTTGGGTTATGTATATGTGTGTGTATGTGTCTGTGTGTGTGTGTGTGTGTGTGTTGGGACATCTGTGCTGAGCATTATACATGGGGTCTCACACTTGCAAGGCACATAATATAGCACTTAAGTCATAGTCTCAGTTCTCAAAATATGCTTTTAATTTTAATTTTTCTCATCAAGCTAAAAACCTGACATAATACTTAATTGATTTTTGTTAATTATGAGTTATCATTGATTCTTTGAGGGTTATTCTTGTTATATACTGAATATTAAAGTTCAGGAAAGCAAAATCACTACAGTAGAAGTGAAGGGGCTTGGGGTATGTGGTGTTGACTTTTCTCTGCCCTAACAAGTCACATGATTTGAAGTAGAAGCATTTTTGTATCCTTGGGTCTCCATTTCTACACATGTTACATGTTTTGCAATATTTCTCAAAAATGCTTTTGAGAATTAGATGAGGTAATGCTAAGGAAAAACAAATTGGAAGGTTTAAAAGTCTGCATGAATTCCTTTATTCATCTGGTTTTTGTGTCCAGAGGTCTGTGGAAGCAGCATTGACACACAGCTTGGAACCCAGGAATGTGGTGGATAGACATTTGTGGCTGAGTCCTATCTGATCTGTGAGATGAGTTGTACTATTTCTATCTTATAGGCAAGAATTTGGGTGGAAGCGCAAGGTCATTGACACTCACTTCAGGTACATCTGTGAAGGAACTCTAAAGTGGCAGTCTTTAGACTTTGACTTTCAAATATCTTCAGAGTTTTTGGTATAGAATTATATCGAATTATATACTGAGTGAATGCTTTTACATTATCCTTAAAGAATAACAAGAAAATATTTCTTTCAAAAAATAACACCTTTCATAAGGGGACTGAAAAAAAAGTAAGAATAAATGTGAGACTCCCAATGGAATTGTATTTTTGCACCATGATTATGTCAACAGGAGACAATGTTAATAATGACTTCTAAGATACTGGCTGGCTCTAAGCAAAACCAAGAGTGTGGTGAATAATGGAATTTTATTTTATGTTTTCCAAAATTATTCTTTCTGAGTGGAGGTTTGGGCCATACCCAGATGCTGTGTTCAGGGACTATTCTTGGTTCTGTGATCAGGAACAACCCCTATTGGAGCTCAGAGAACCTTATACAGTGCCACAAATGGAACCTGGGTCAGCTATATGTAAAGGTAGTCTTTACCTTCTTAACCTCTCAGGCCTGAGAATAGAATTTTAAAGATCCCCTGCGAAGCCTTAGGTTCCTTTTTGGTTCAACTCACCAAGTATGTTGGATGAAGCAGTGGAGGCTAAAAGGTTGACTGGGGCGTAATCATATGCATCTTTGTTCATTTTCTAAAAGATTTAGATCACCTTTTGCTTTCCTTTTCTGCTCTTTTTTTTTCTCTTACTGTTTCCTTAAGACTTCAGTTTTCTTTAGCTTCATTTTCCCTTTAGTTCTTTTAGGCATTGGTTTTTTCCTTTTATATATCATTGGCATGCAGCAAAATATTTACAAGCAGAAGGTGAAGTTGCAAATCTGAAAGTTTTAAGCCAATATGAAAAGAACCCCTCCAACTTTTGGCATGTGATTGATGGTGTTCTGTTGCTGTGAACTGGCAGTAGAGTCTCTTTAGAGAAGTAAGAATAAGGTATGGCCCCACTGTTTGTTAGCACGTAGCATCTTAATGGGCAGAAGGGGCAGTGCTGAGGTACTGAGGATGCTCCTGGAATGAGGAGTGTTTGACCCATCAATGCAAGCCTAGTGAGCTGTGCAATACTGCAAGAAACCTGTAACAAGACTAACCTGCTAATCCAAAGGAAGAAATGCAAACACATCAGTATCTGTAGGAAACCTGAGTGAGAAAAAGTTAAGAGAAGATCTAGCAATTATTACAGGCTCTTTCTTAGAAGACAGAATGCAAACATTGCTACCTATAAAATCTGCTTTGCACTATCCTTTTATTTTTATTTTATTATTTGAACTGTCATTTTATTTCCTCAATTTAGATCCTTATCCTTACCTTTACTTTTCTGACTTATTAGTTGGAAACCTATATTTTGGAGTACTACAAGTGGTTCTAAGTTGGTCCACTAGTGACTTTCAGTCAACGGGTTGGGCCAATGTTGAGTCTAAGAATGTGATGCAGTTTGGGCCCTGCAGATCCAGGGATTACCTGGGCCATCCTGTCAGTGCTCAGGGGTCACACCTCGTGGTATTTGAGGACTTCCAGGACTACAATTGACAACATTCTAAGGACCATGTGGTGCCAGGAATTGAACTCAGGGTTGGGTAGATAGTAAAGATGTGTCATAACCACTGTACTATCTTCTGGTTCCTGGATTGCTGCATTGGGTGCTGAATAAGTTTCTTAATCCAGTTAATATGATGACACTTTTCCCTCCCACCCTATAAAAATTATTTTGGCAATGGGATGCATGTAAGAAATATAAGGTTATTTTGGGGCTAGAGAGATAATACAGTGGGTAAGGTGCTTGCTTTGTATGATGCTGGGTTGAGTTCAATCCCTGGCACCCCCATATACTCCCCTGAGCCTGCCAGGAGTTATCACTCAGCACAGAGGCAGGAGTAAGCTCTGAGCACCACTGGATTTGGCCCAAAAGCCAAAGAGAAAAACAGAAAAAAATATGATTTAAGTACTGAAATAATATTTTTTTTAATTTCCAAAGATTTGGAAGAAGGGAAAACAAGTGGCATAGTCTTCCTCACATATTTCTTAGTATGGAATATATAGTATTTATTACCCTGCAACAGACAAGCAAGATATGACAAAAAAGAAAATACTTCAATGGCAAATGTTAATGACCCTGTCACAGAAATTGCTGATACAAATAGATTTCATAGAAACAAACAGTTGAAGGGCTGAGGAGGTAGCTCAAAGGACTAGTTTGCATGCTTTGCATGCAGGAGGATTCAATCTCTAGCACATGTGATCTCACAAACACCAAGAAGTGACTCTTATAGTTCCTGAGCAGTGCTGGGTGTAACCCAACCAATTTCTCCCTCTATCCCAAAGAAATATACAGGAGCAGATACTGGTCCACACAGTATCTGCAGATTGACTTTTCAAAACTAATTACTTTCTGTTGGAAATGTAGCCTTGTCTTGCATGCACACACACAAAATTACTTAATAAAATATTTTTGAAACAAATGATAGCTATTTTTGTGTTTTAATGTGTGTCTTTTAATTATATTTTCCTATTTGAGTATGATTTTTAGACCTTAGTAAAAAATCACTGTGCATTTTTGATTTTGGCTCACTTTCACTTTCTTCTCATTAAGAGATACACTGTGCCATCACAAATCATATATAGGCTTTTACGTTTTTGAGTCGTGTGGGGGGGAAGGGGATGTTTAATCATTAGGATTGAATTACTAAGTAACCCTGGGTCATTTATTCATTTGATTGCAGATTGATTTCCAACTTACATTT